GCAAAGACTCAGGAGATCTGGATTCTTTGGAGCCTTGCTACACTCTATCTCCTCTCCAGACTTTTATGTCCCAACTAAAACATAAATCACTGGGTCCCTGTTGTTTAAAAAAAAAAACCTACCAGCAGGAGGGCTAAGATGGTTCAGCATGTAAAAGTACCAGCTGACATGCTTAGCAGTCTGAGGGTGCTGGCTGGTTTTATGTCAACTTGACATAAGCTCCAGTCACCTGAGAGGAAGGAACCTCAATTGGGACAATGCCGCCTTAAGATTGGGCTGCAGGCAAGCCTGTAAGGGCATTTTCTTAATGAGTGATTAATACCACCCCTGTGCTGGTGGTCCTAGGTTCTATAAAGAAGCAGGCTGATCAAGCCATGAGAAGCAAGGCAGTAAGGACCATTCCTCCATGGCCTCTTCATCAGTTCCTTTCATTCCTGTCCTGACTTCCTGGATGATGACCCATAAGCTGGAAGAGGAAGTAAACATTTTCTTCCCCAGCTTTCGAGGTCATGGTGGGTTTAGTTTGATTTTGTTATGTAACTGCAACAATGAGATCTGGAGGCTACAAAGCAGATGGACACCTACTTGGGCAGCCTCAGAAAAAGGAAAATGGGGAAACTGGCAGCTCTCTCTGGAAATGAAGAGAAGAACATCTCAAAAGATTGTCAGAGGCAAACCAGACTACATCCCATTATTGGTCCAGCCAAGGGATTACCCATCTCTAACCTGGTAAAAGACTAAAGGTTTGTATGTGCTGGATTCTCAGGACTGGAAGATTAGAGGATACCAGGCAGATTCAAAGCCAGGACATTCCTTGCTGAAATGTAATTATTATTTGAATGTGGACACAGCCTTTGAAGACCTCAACCCTCATGTTTCATTTGGTGGCAGTCCATCACCCACCAGGCTGGGTAGGACTCTTGGAGACCTGGGCAGAAGAGAGATGTAAAGAGAGAACTAATTAAAAGACAGACATTGAGGCCTCCTGAGTGAGATAGCCAACAAGTTATGGACCACGCAGTGCACAAACGAGTGGACTGGCCTCTATTTGCAAACCCAGCAGCTGAGACTCCAGATATCCTGTAACGGGAAATAAATAGAGACTGGCCACACATGGAGGGGCTTTACATGAGAAGAAAATCTCCGCAGAGGATGCACAGCCACGAGACAAGCCTAGGGAGCTGTGTTCCAAACCAAGGAGACTTCCAAGCCCCACGTGATGTTTCAGAAATCAAAACATGCAAAGTAACAGTTATGTTGGAAAACTGAAAAATACAACTGAGGAAATCTTCTAGGAAGCAGAGCCAAATTACAGCAAGATTGGCAATGAGAGGGGAAAACAGAGCAATGGTGCAGAAAGCCTCTTCCAGATCAAAACGATCCGAGGGAACTGAGGAAACATGATGGAGCCTCCATGAAATAACTCAGCAACATTTCCCAGAACGGGAGGAGGCTTTTTACACTGAAAAGCTTCACCAAGTGCTCAACACAGTGGATGAAAGTCAACATATCCACCATTGGGAGATTTCAAACCCTGGGAACAATGCAACATCCTACAGGTATCCAGAAAGACCAGGTCGCTCGACAATGACCAGGACTCAGGATACTCCAGACTTCATGCCAGTCACTCAGAATTAAACAGATGCAATGCCTTTTCCGGAAAGCCAGTTCCGACCTAAAACTCCATAACTGTGAAACTATCTATAAGTATAGTGTAGAATAAAGATATTTTGAGACATGTGGGATTTCAAAACTTTTGCTTCCTTCCTGTCTCCTTTCCCAGGAAGCCACTAGAAGTGTGGTTCTTGCAACATAATGGGGGTGGCACAGAAAGAGAGAACTGAAATGAGGGAGAGAGGAGAGGGGTGAAGAGAGCTGAAGTAGCATAAAGTAGGAACCTGTGGATGCTGGCTCTGCATACATACCTTCCCCCAGGTCACATGGAAGCAGAATGCTTACTGGTAGAAGGCATGGTACCTATACTCCAAGCAAGGGGTTTGGATGATGCTCAGGATCTCCCTGAACTCTCAGAAGTCCTCTCTCCTTAGCCTCCTGAGTGCTGGGATTATGTAGGCTTTTATCAGGGCTGGCTTATGAAGGTCTCTTCAAACAGAAAACTTCAGTAAAAAGTTCACCTAAAAAATATGCACCCGACTATATTCTATTTCAGCAGCTTTGTGAATAAATTGTGCATTTCATAAGAATTTTCCAATGAGTAAGAATTCAGGTGTCTGATAGCCCCATTGGTAGGAATATATACTTTTTTTTTTTTTTTTTTTTTTTTTTTTTTTTTTTTTTTTTTTTTTTTTCAAAATTTTTTTTCCCCCTTTTTTTTCCTCTTCTCTCTGTGGGGGTTTTTTTGTGG